TATATATATATATATACGCGATTCTGTGTGACACTCGTGTTTATCAAACGATGGAGTTTCATAAAACACACTAATGGCGGCACATGAGAGACAGAATATTTATGTTTTTGGCTGACAGCAGGGATGTGAGTTTTAATCATCGAGGACATAACAGACGCCTTCGGCTGTTTCAATTCAGACGTACCTGTAATCAGAGAATTCCACGAGAATGTAATTTCTCATAAATTAGTGTTTGCTGCAGTCAGTCCTGTGTTGTAGCTTCAGGCCGGTGAAAAGATTGTATTTTTAATTAGACATTTACAGTTGCAGCTCTGATTCTGTTTTCAAATCATTTTCTTTGCTTTTCAGTGATGATTTAGTTTCAGTCACTGTTGTCCTGATAGATTTAATTACAGATTGTCACTCTGTTTAGAACATGTACACATGATGGAGTTCAGCTAAACCGCTCTACCTGGACACTGCAATGTTTTAAAAAGAAACTGACTGAAGCAATGAAGAATTAGTATTAATTAATTTATTTTAAATAGTGATCAGTAATATGTTCACTCACAACACATTGTTTTTATATATCACTGCGTTCTCTTCCATCTTTTTTCCACGTCAGTAACAACTTGTGAATTTATCCACGTCAGACTTTCCTCGTTTTGCTTTTGTATCGTAAAAACTCGGTTTAATCCGCTTCATGTCTTGAACCCGTCCTTCTTATATGAGGTAAACTCTGGGACCTGCAGTTTATTTTATTCTCGCCCACCTGCTGTAAAGCTAAACTGCCCACTCCTGTGAGATTTTGCGTTGGGTTTCGCACAATCCCAGTCCCAGTCCTCTGCACCATCGTGTCATTTAATACAGAAATACACTGACTTTAGATGCAATGATAACATTTACATCTAATCTTTTCCTAACTGTAACCAAAGTGGTTTAGTTGTCTAAACGTATCCCCAGAGGAGGTCTGGGAGTGAGTCCTGCTCTCTGGTGTACGAGGAAAGTGATTTATATGCCAACCATCCACCCCGACAGCCTCCTGTCTGCTCTAACACAGTTCATAAATGAGGCGCTTCATTCATTTATTTAAAAAAAAGTCACCTCTGAATGCTACTGAGTCGTACCCATACGTAACTGGGAAACCAGTTTAACTTTACAGGAAATAAGGATTAGTTTTCTTCCCCCCAAATTAAAAGTTGCTGTCCTTGGAGCAGAACCTTCCAATCCTGGCAATCTTAAGATACTGACTTGCTTTCAAGGTAAACCCAAAGTCCTTATTGGCAGCTCTCACCACTCAGCCGGCATCTCGGTAGCTCCACGTTTACTCTGCCCTGGTTGATCTCTGCCTGTCTTAAATATGAGTTCTGGCCACAGGCATGAAGCACCTCAGAAGTCTTTGTCATGGTTGCTAACAAAACCCAACAATCCTCTTGCTTGCCAACATGAAACCCTGTAAACCGAGTGACGATCTTCTCACGTCGTTATGCTATTAAACAGTAGGAGGGTCCACCTGGTGTTGCGGCCAGGTACTGCAGGTTATCGACAACACATTCTCTGACATGCATGTAGAGAACACAGGCTGCTGCCATCTTTGGCTCTTGTGGAGAAATGGTCCAGCCAACCCTCTCCACACTACAGTCCAGGCAGCACCCTACTGGAGCTTCAGACTAGATTAGATTTAGACTTTATTGTCTTCGTGGGGAAATTCTTTTCCGCTGCACCATTCTACCTGATTTACATGAACAGGACACACATAGTACCAAACACTGTTCACATATCGGTGTGGTTTTCACTCTGTCCAGGTTACCTTGGCCTTTTGTTAAGGGTTGCTATAATGGATGGCATTAGCCTCGTCGTGTTCGTTTACATCTTAGTTCTGTATCTATGTCCTGAGGGGAAGGGGTGAGGTGTGTGTTTGTGTTGTGTCCTGTTCTGTTATGTTAGCAATTCATGTAATGGCCTGTTGTTTGATTCTGTGAGGTTTGGTGAGTGAAGACCGATTTACAACAAGGATGGTGACCACCTACGTAGCATTGATCTGAACAACTTCAGTGTATATGAACTGTGTATTATCTGGGAAAAGTGTGTCTGATTGGTGCTGGCAGAAAATTAAATGACTCGGATCAGATCAGGGGAAAAATAAATTAACAAAAGATCCAGAGTCTCCACATAGTTTTGTGTTGTGTGTGATGCGTCCACTCACGTTGACCACGGCCTCTTTGGTCTGAGCCATGTCTGAGATGACGCCGTCAGTGATCATCAGCAGCACAAAGTACTGAGAGCCGTCGGTCACTTCTCCGGCACACCTACCGTCATTAAACACACAAACATGCACAGAAGTTAGCCTCAAACACGCATCTGCAGCCCCAGTAAACACAACCAGCATGTGCTCTGAATTCCAGTCCTCAAGAGGAAACATGGAGGAAATCAGACTGTTTCTGTCACTCCAATACAAACAGTAAATTTCTGTTGCATTCGTGACAACATGCCGTAGATGTGCTTCCATACAGAGTCCATACACTGGTTTTGAACAAAGACGAGCACAAATGGAACGCTGTCTATTGTTTAAGCTCAAATGCATCAGGTGATACAGCGCTACATCAATCCTGCACAGCTCAACGCATCGCTGTACCTGCATGTTTGCATAGACATGAGCTTCAGGGTAACATATTTCTGGTGGTGGTCGAACATGTTGGTGGTTCCAGGAGGCATTCTTGGGTTTTCTGTTTGTGGCAACGGCCGTAAGCAACTCTCCATCATGTTTCTGAAGCTCAAATAGGATTAAACTGATCTCTAAAAGTTTCAGTGTACAAGAATTGCAGGCAGGTTTGTTGACATCATGGTTTATTTGAAGCGGGTTTAGTCGTCGTATTAAGGTTGGAGGGAAAATTTTGTTTCTCATCTTTGGTGTTTTTATTGTAGCATAAATAAATGTTACCAGAAATAATGGGAGCACAAATCAGGGAGGATCCAGCCTGTTAGATTACAACTGAAATCATTATACAACAAGATTCAGAAGTCCTGTGTCACACATGGGCGGTTAGGTTCTGCAGTTCAATTCTGGTTAATAAGAAAAGAACATAAAAATAATAAGAAGAATATTTTCACACTGACAGGGAAAACTGCTGCTTTGAATAGATTTAAAAGAAGACATTGTACTGTTCTTTAAAGAGCTCAGACATCCTGAAGAAGCTCCTTTACATCAAAAGGAGGCAGAAGAATTGGTTTGGTCATCTGATCACGATGCCTCCGGGGCAGCTGCTTCCACTGGAGCTTTTCTGGGCACTTCCAGCTGACAGCAGACCTCAGGCTAGACCCAGAAAAAGCTCAGGGAATTATATATCCTTATGGCCAAGGCTGCTTTGTGGACAAACATTAAACAGAGTGATGTTCCTCTGTAACAATGGATCCTTGGTCAAATCCTAGATTGGTTCTTAGACCTCTGAATCTAGCACGTCTATATATTTGATTATTTGAAGGCAGAGACTAAAGGTTCTGTAATTAAACGGTGGTTCAGTCATTGTGAACTTCTCCACTGTGAGATAAATAAAGGCATATCTTATCTTATTAGGACAGATAGCTGAGATGCATTTTCATTGTGAAGTTTGGATAAATCCCAAATTAGTGTTAACTGACTCTTACAGATACAGGAAGGTTAGAGCAATGAATATTTAGTTTGAAGGTCAGGTTCATTCTACTCAGACTGTATCAGGATGATGCACTTGTCCACATGTAATCTACCAATACATTGAGCTGCTGTTGCACTGCGTTGCCGCCGACGTTGAACTGGGTTAAACTCTTGTGACCTGGACTGATGTAAGCCGTCTGTCAGCTCCTGATCACGCAGCGCTAATGTCACCGTAATCATCACTGTAAATATTCTGTATCATGCGTCTGAGCTTTCTGAATGGAGCTGGTGTCTTGCTCTGCAGGTAGCTGCTCCACCACCACATCCTCTGATGGCTCTCTGCAGGCTGGTCAGTGTGTGGATTTAAATGGGAAGCTGATGTACGTTAAAGAGTGAACACAGAGCTCGTTCCTGCTTATGATAATGGAGTCCACACTAACGGCGTTGTGTAAGCGTTTTTGTTCAGCATGTGTGTTCCAGGTAATGTTAGGATCCCAGCAGGGAGGAAGGCCTGCTGTCTGACTCACTGTTTGATTGGCTCACACTCTCAGTCTGGCCCGAGGCTGAGAGCAGGCAAAATGGCAAACGCTCTGTCTCAGCTGGATCCTGCAGTCTGTCCTGCTGCCTGTCTCATCAGCCATCGCTCTTCTTTTCTCTGTTTTCCTTTGTCATCTTTCTTCCAAAGCCCCTCATTCACTGTCTGTACAGAATTATGGGTGAAACAATGGGACCGGGGACCAAACTGCTGCTACCTGAAGCCACGTTGACCTTTTCTTTCGTGCGCTTGTGTGGAAAATGCAAAATGTAGAAAACATGCAGGTTCATAGCACATGAAATAATTACATCTCCATATCGATGTTCCAGCACATTTGTTGTAGATGCCTCTGGCACAGGAATAATTTAATCTGTTGATTGTAGCACCAGTGCAACAATAGATGGAGCGCAGCATTAGCAGGCTGGGATGCAGATTTGTAAAAGAAATGAGAGGAGCCCTTTTCTGTTGCTTTACTGAAAGAGACAAGGGGAGGACGTCCTCACAAAAACAGTTGGATGACATAAAAACAGCACTGTATGAAAAAATAAAATGCAACAGATGATGTGATTGAGGAGATAGAGGTCAAGCTAAGAAAATAAAATCACACTGACAGTGTTAAAACTGAGCAAGTGGAACAATTACAGACACACTGACAAACAAATAAGAAC